CCTTAGCGGGAACTGAACCCGGGTCTCTCCGGACCGCAGGCCTACGCTCTAACCGCTGAGCCAAACCGGCCAGGGCTAAACCTTACTCTTCTTTAACAAATAAAATCAAGTTTATATATCCATTAAAAGAAGCCTTGAAGAGACTTTCTTTTGTTTTGGTTGAAAGAAGTGTCAGTAATAGTTTCACCTCATCTCCTGAAACCACGGCCCAGAGTTGTGGGGATACCAGAGGTTGCTGTGTTATTCAAGAGGTTCTTGAGTTTTAGCTCCCTACAACCCTGACCTTCCCCATGAGGTCCTGTTGTAATAATTTGATTTTAAGAAAGTTACAAGAGCTGAATTGCAGTTTCAATGTCACTCTTATGATGTTTCATGTTTGACATAGATTCTGATACCATGTAATTTGTGTCCCTTTTGAAAATTTAAACTTTCAATTACAGTTAGTGAATATGAAAGTATTTCTAAATAAAAATAAGTGTAAAAAAAGAAAAGAGTGTATATACATATGTGAAAGAAGAAGTCAACTAAGAACTGATAAACAGGGCAAAATAAATGTTTACACAGCTCCAAATTCCTAGAACAGAGATATTCTTTTATTATTATTATTTATGTATTTTTCTTTATTTTTTTTAAAGTTATTTTTGTTTTTTGTTTGATTTTTCTTTTTTGAACAGGGATATTCTTAAGGGAGGATTTCAGCCTCTGTTAAATGATGAGTTTCCTCCTAGCATTTAAACCTCTCCCAGGGATATGAATTAATCTTCTTTAGGTCACTAAGGGACCTCTAAGCGATTAGCTCTTGTGTAGTTCTGCAAAAATGAGTAGGCATTCAAATAGTCATCCTGGCCCAGCCAGTGTGGCTCAGGGGTCGAGGGTCAATCCATGAACCAAGAGGTCGCCAGTTCAGTTCCTGGTTCCATGCTGATGTTCTCTCTCATTGATGCTTCTCTCTCTCTCTCCCTCTCCCTTCCTCTTGCTTTCAAATCAATAAAAACATATTTTAAAAAAGTCACTGCCTGACACATTACCCTATAAAAAATAGTATTTGCTTTCTAGACTTTATGTAATTTGTGTTCTTTAATCTCCCTCACTATTACCGATTTTCTCCGTTTTTAAAAAATCATTATGCCATTCCAAGGTCTAAACAAAATGCTCTGTATACTATGAACTTTTTAATACTTTCATTCATTCACTCAATATCCATTTATTGAGTATCCATTATGTGTTGGGCACTGTGGTGTTGTAAACACAAAATACAAGGTTCTTTCCCTCATGGAGCTTACATCATAGTGTGTGTGTGGCTGTCATTGTTGAGGGAGATAGACCATAGAAAAGTAAACAAATAAGATAGTTTCAGATAGTGATAAGTGCTATGAAGTCAGCAGGACACGTGGTAGCATGGGATTGAGAAGGAAGGGCTATTTGTTTTTTAGTGTCCACAGTATTAACAGATGTCTCCTATTTTCCTCCTTTTTGCTCCCCTCCACTCCCTGCCCGACCCCAGACTTCCCCCATGCTATTGTCTGTGTCCATGGGTTATGCACATATTCTTTAGTTAATCTTTTCCTGTCAGAGGGAGGGGCTATTTTATTTATTTATTTTTTTAATCCTCACTCGAGGATATTTTTCCATTTATCTTTAGACAGAGTAGGAGGGAGGGAGGGGGGAAGAAGAAGAGAGACAGAGAGAGAGACAGAGAGAGAGAGAGAGATAGAGAGACAGGAACATCCATCGACTGGTTGCCTCCCACACAACCCCGACCAGGGCCAGGGAAACAGGGCAGGGGGAACCACAACCTGGGCATGTGCCCTTAGTCGGAATCGAACCCAGGTCTCATTGGTGTGTGGGCCGACGCTCTAACCGCTGAGCCAAACGTGCCAGGGCAAGGAGGGGCTATTTAATTTATTTTTTTTATCCTCACCCGAGGACATTTTTCTATTTTTTGTTCAGATAGAGTGAGAGGGAGAGAGAGGAAGGAGAGAGAAACATCGATGTGAAAGGGACGCATAGAGTGGCTACCACCCACACAACCCAACCAGGGCTGGAGACAAACTGCAATCAAGGTACGTGCCCTTAGCGGGAACCGAACCAGGGTCTCTCTGGACCGCAGGCTGATGCTCCAACAGCTGAGCCAAACCGGCCAGGGCAGGAGGGGCTATTTTAGAAGGGAAAGTTCTTGAGCTAAGACATGAATGTGAGCCATTGACAAATGTATGATTTACAATGAGCACTTTATGGATATGAACATCTGCACATTTTTATTTCTAAATGCAAAACCATTCTCTCTCAACTACACAAATGATGAAAATTCAATTTCTATTTAAATCAAGTATCAACAAAAAACCTTGCACTCGCTAAGGATAACAGGTTCAAGAATACTAAAGATTAGATTTCTGCAATATTAGATTTATTTTGAAACCCAAACAGCTCCCAGTAGATGTGCCTTCAATGAAAAAAAAAAAAATTCAGACACTACTCTTGCTTAATCCCCATGCGAGTTACACAATATGTGAATAATCTACAATGTTTGTTATCAGCAAACTGGCAAGGGAAATTTTGTTACAAAAATGAATCCATCCTAATTGTTTTTTGGATAAAGCTGTTTTATATTTGTGATTCATGATCTTGTAAAATCACACATGTGCAGGAAAAGAAAGCTGTCATTTGCCAGCAGCAAAGCAAATATGATTCGATGTTCCAGAGGCTAGAACACATTTATTCATTCGGTGTTTATAACTGGCTTCCTCAGATACACAAGTGTTGCTCATCTAGTGATGTGAATTTAAAACATACAGGGCTTCAGATTTGATCCCCGGGATTAAAAGAAATAACACACTAATCTTCATCTATAAAAATATATTTTTTTGAAAGTTAGATTTGATTCTTACTATACCATAATCATGACAGTAATTAGAGCCAAGTTCTTTTGTATCTCTTCAAAATTTGAGGAGTTAAAATTCAGAAGACAATAACAATGATTATGGAGGAGGAAGAAACCATTAACAAGATGTCAAAAAAAAAAAAATGTGATAGTAATTTAAGAACCAATGAACTTTATAAACCGGAATCATGCATGAGTAATACTGAATAGAGTCTGGAGCCAGACAGGAAATCTGGCCTCAGAAAGCAAAGCATAAGCAGGAGGTTGTGGGGAGGAATGGAAACTTTCAGAGGTATTGGAATTAAATGATCTCTAGGTCCCTTTTAGCCCCTTATATCTGATTCTAAGGATACCCAAAATGTGTGTTAACCAGTTTTTAAAAAGGCTTTATTGAGATATAATGTACGTAACCATAAAACTCACAATTCGTGATTTGTAGTAAATTCACAGAGTTGTGCAACCATCACCACAATCTAACCCATTATTTTTCATGTTATTTATAGGGTAGAAACAATTTTATTTTTCTAGTATAAAGTTACATAGTGACTCATTAAAATTGTAGAGCAAGTTTCAAGGATGCAAAGATGATTCACTGAAAATATGTATAAGAGACATGTACAGGCAGTTACTCTACTGAAACAAATAGAGAGAAGAAGAGGGAGGGTAGCTGGAGGAAGTGCAGAGCAATGGTTACCAGCACACCCTCAAGTCAGACTGCTGGAGTTCAGATTTTGGCATCTCTACTTGCTTAATAGCTGTCTGACCTCAAGCAAGTTACTTAAATTTGCTGAGCCTGGGTTTACTCATCTGTAAGTTGACAGTACCTACTTCATGGAGTTATGAAAGATAAATGAAATAATATGTGCAAGGGGTTAACATACTCCTGGTACATAGAAAATATTCAATACATGTTAGCTATTTTTATAATTATCACTTGATGACCATTAGTCTCTCATGAGCAGAAATAAAAGACTACATGCTCTATGATTCAATTTATATAAATTCTAGAAAAGGTAAATGATGGTGTTAGAAAGCAGGTCAGTGGTTGCCAGAGGACAGGGACTTTGGCAGGAAATTGACAGCAAAGAGACACAGGAAACTTTTTGGGGTGTTCTGTATTACAGTTCTGATGGTGTTTTGTAAACATTTGTCATCCAATTATACACTTGAACTTGGTGAATTTTATGGTATGTAAAATAAAGCTGACAACCTCCCCCTGAAAATCTAGCTTTTAATTAACCAGTAGGATACTTTGTTTATTTTACGTTACAAGCAAGAATCAATTTCTAAACTCCAGCCACAGTTATTTGTTGAGCACCTACTATGTGCGGGGCACTATTCTAGGTGCTGGGCATACAACCTTGAAGTAGACAGACAGCATCTCTACATTCATTCATGGAGCTTATAGTTCAAGCACAAATGATACACATATGTTTGGGGTGACAAAAGTGGTCAGTGCGGGATGCTGGGGAACATAAGGGTGACAAGGTAGTTGGAGGAGGGGTAGAGGAACACTAAGTAGTATAAATATCTGCCCCGTGGTTTTTCTTTTAGTTTTCATACATACATGGAAATAAACACATTGTCCCTGTGTCTGAAGATGATGCCCTTGACTGATCTAGTGTCTGGGCAGGTGGTATGACAGAGGTCTCTAGGGGACTGGTGACAGTGACACAAGGCACTCTGGCCACACCATCTGTGAGACGTGGTGTTCACCTGCGAGGAAAAAGGACTGGCATCAGCCCAAGGACCAGGTGGACGCTTCATAGGCCTCAGGGGTAGCGCGGCTTTGACCTTGGCCTGGTCACCCTGGCACTCTCTTGGCTCCAGGCGAGCACCAGCCCTCTGCGGAGCGCTGAAGCAAGAACCCTCAGGTACCTTAGCAGAGGACCGACCAACCTGGGACGTCTCGGTGTGCGAGGTGACCCCACCCACTGGATGGAGGACCCCGCCTACGTGAGTCCAAGGCGGGTGCCGGCTGGGGGCACAGCCTGGTTGCAGGAACCTGGTTGGCTGAACCGGTCTGAGCCGCGTGTGAGGGCGGGGCGAGGGCTGTGGGGGCGGAGCTTACCTCGAGGAGGGCTGCCCCGCGCCCCTTCGGGAAATGGATGTTCCGCAGGTCTGCGGGCGCCAGGGGCGGGGAAAGCGCTTGTTTAGTTGCGCTCTAGCCGCGCCCGGGAACCGGCGGGAGGGGCCGCCCCCTTCCTCCCACACTGGGGCTGGCTTGAGCCGGGAGCGGAGAAACGGAGTCGGCTCCAAGCTCCCTGCTTGATTTTTGGGTGGCGGCAATCGGAGGAGGAATATGGCGCTCGTAGGCAACGGAGCGGAGCTGGAAGCAGACGAGGTACTGGCCGGTGGGAGAGCGGGCACTGCCCCTGGAGCCCGGCGGGGATGGCCCAAGGTCCCGCCCCCTCGGTGTCAGTTTGGGACCGGCAGCCTCCGGCCTGGAGGGCTTGGCAGGGACTGCGGATGGGTGTACCCGTCCTTGGGAGGTCTGTCCTTGCGGGAGTGAGGGGTCTCCGCGGCGCTCGGAGTGGAGGCGGTGCCGAGTTCGGGGCGCGGGCACCGAGGGGTTGTGGGGATGGAGGACACTCCGTCCGCTCCGCGGGTGGATGGGTGCGAGGGCGCAGCCGCGCAGGACCCGCAGCTCCGAGCTGTTCGGAGCCTCTCCAGGGACACCAGGCTTCATGAGGTCTGACCCGAAGTCCCTACACTGGCCCTCGGGCGTTTGTGCCATCGTGTCTTGAGCTGGGATGGGGTCTCACCTCCTGTGGAAGTTTCCTGGTGGCAGAACCGAAAGGCTTACAGTTGACGAGAGGAGGGGACAGCCGGAGGAAGAAGGAGCCCCAGGGTGTCTGCCTGGTGGGCAGGGCAGTGGCTGCCGAGGAGCCGGAGCGCGAGGGGACCGGAGCAGTGCCCAGGAGCCGTGCTTTCCCCTCCGTGCACCGGGCCCGGGCCTTTCCTCAGCAGGTCCCCCGTGTCGGTGGCACAGGCAGTGGGAAGGCGCTATGAGAACCGACTCTGGCATCCTGTCGTCTCTACTGCATTTAACTAATTAACCACTTCCTCCTGCGGTCGGCGCGCCCGGGTCTGGGCACCTTTGGGCGTGCGCGCCGGACCTGTTGATTTTACAGACTCTTCGGTTCAGCACTTGGCGGCTCGGGAGAGACGCTCCCTCTTGAGCTTGAAGTTGAGGCCGGCGGCAGCGCAGCAGCTCCCAAAGCTACTGCTGCTGCCATTTTACCTGACTTGAATTTTACAAGTCGCTGCCTGAGGAGGCTTAGTTTCAAATGATGCAATAGTGGAAGATCTGGAGGAGGCGGGTTAAGATTCCCATCCTTCTCTTCAATGCCGGGAAACTCCTGACAATGAACACTATGTTTTAAATGTAGCCCTTAAAATAAAAATAACACAAAAACCGAACTACAGCTCCTTTACACGACCTGCAGACAAGAGGGCAAGTCAGGCGGTCCAGAACCTTCCATACAGCCTGTCCCTTGCGATGAGGGTAGCAAGATCACAGACCAATGAACTAGAGCTTGCTCAACTGCATCTATTTATTGTTGAAACGTTTAAACCACCCATAAAAGCAAATGATGAAACATTACCTTTGTTGCTATTTTCATCTGCGACAACCTTTTTTTTTTAAATCTGTAGCTTTAGGCTATCTTTTTGGTATGTCAGGAACCAGCTGTTTTTCATACCTTAGCTCTTTTTTTGTGTTCAAGGTAGTAACACTTATGGTGCTTTTGACCCTAGAGTCACTACATTCCTCAAAAGTTGTCATGGCTCCCTGCTGTATGTTGACTTAAGTATCCATGCACCTGGCACGCAAGGCTCGGCACAGTGTGGTCTTAATCTGATGTTCCAGGCTTGTGCTCAGCTGCTTCTGTGTAACCATTTAGTCAGTGTTATGCCCATATTATAAACGGGGAAACCAGACAGGGAGTCAATGTCAGGGAGTCAGCTAATAAATGTGGAGTGAAAATTTTGAATTCCTAGTCTGCTTGAAAAAAAAAATTGCTACGCTTAGAGCTATATAATTGTCTAGACCAGAGTATTGTTGAGAGAGAAAGGGGATGCTATTAATAATTAGCACTTGGACAATAGGTGTAAACTGGGACACTCCTGGTCATATTGAGACCTGGCCACCCTAGCTGTGCCATTGCCTGCAAGATGAACCGACAGACTGAGATGCATTCGCTAGGGAGAAGGGCTCTAGCTCTGTGGGGGAGTTAGGTTTCAGAGCAGCAGAGTCTGACACATAGATATTTATTGAATGAATGAATGAATGAATGAGTGCAGAAAAGATGTTGCTTAATAATTTCTCAGTTTTTACTATATCTTTCATTCACTTTTTATTTATTTATTTATTAAAATATTTTGTTTTCTTTATTGATTTTCAGAGAGAGAGGAAGGAAGAGGGAGAGAGAGATAGAAACATCAATGTGAGAGAACATTGATTGGCCACCTCCTGCATGTTCCCCACTGGGGATTTGGCCCACAACAGGGGCATGTGCCCTGACCCGGAATCAAATCGGGGACCTCTTGGTGCATGGATCGATGCTCAACCACTGGGGCACACCGGCCAGGCTTTCATTCACTTTTTAAATGTTATAACTATTAGGCACCTAGTACATGTTAGGTTTTTTTTTTTTTTTTTTTTATCCTCACCCGAGGACATTTTTTTTTTTTCATTTTGTGTTCAGATAGAGTGGGAGGGAGAGAGAAGAGAGAAATAGACAGAAACATCGACGTGAAAGGGACAAATCGAGTGGCTGCCTCCCGTACGACCCAACCAGGGCTGAGGACGAACTGCAACCGAGGTACGCGCCCTTAGCGGGAACCGAACCTGGGTCTCTCTGGACCGCAAGCCAACGCTCTAACCGCTGAGCCAAACCGACCAGGGCACATGTTAGGTTTTATAATGGTCCTAGAAGATGAGCAAAGTACAAATAAAATTTTTTGTTCATTCCAAATCCATTTTTATCCCTTGTGGTGCACCACTTCCATTGGTATAAGTTTCACAAACATTTATTAAACATTTGCTCTGTACTCAAACTTGGTAAGTGCCTTATTAAGAGAAGATACAGTTTTGGCTCTCTAGGGTTCTCAGTCTAGGTAGGGAGATATGATGTGTACAGAACTCTACAAAAGAGCTTAAAGCAAGGTAAGCAAGTTAGAAGTAGTGCATTGTAGACTGGGTATCCTTGTTTGTAGAAAGTCCCTAACTTTCAATGGGCCGAAGTGTTCTGCACATGGGTGAACAAAGCCCTGCGCTTCAACTTTACTGGTTCTGTGAACTAAAATAGCTTATTTCAGCTCGGAGTTTTTCAAATACTTATACATTTAATAGTCTTTGTGGCCACTCTTTGATACACCGGGGAAGTAGAAGGGTGTGGTTGGAAAAGCAGTACAAAAGTGAAAAGTGGTATAGTGGGAAAAGTAATAGCCTAGGAATTAGGTGAACTGGGCTCTCAGCTCCGTCACTGATTTGCCCCATAACCATTCATTCATTGTGTGTGCAAACATCTATCTTATGTGTCAAATCTGATGCTAGCCTGGAGACACAACAGTGAACTAGACAGACAAGGACCTTATCTGTAACTGGTGACTTTGATAGAGCAGGTCTCTCAACCTCTAAGGGCTTTGTTAAGTTTCCTTATATAAGGAAGGAGGAGCCGGATGAGCCCTAAATGTTCTTCCAGGTCTAAAAATCTGTGCTTTTGGAGGGGAGGGGGGGTTACTTTTTAGGAGAAGTAATAATATGGGGTTCCCTTTTCTTTCAAAGTAACCAAAGAGATGATGGTAGTAGAAGAGTTCTCATGGTAGCTGTGGGATGCGGTGTTTCTTAGGCAAACTGATGTTTTTTCCTCTTGGAGGATAAATGTGAGAATACAGAGGTTAAGACTTGCAACTTCAAGGGTGCTGAAAATTGGTTCTGGAGGGGGACACAGACAGCTTAGATTTTACAATGGTGTGTGGTCCTTCAAATTTTGGTTAACAAAATCTTATTTCTTTTCCCTTCCAAATAAAATTACAATTTATTTACAGCAATTGATTCAACTTCCTGATTCTTCCTTCCTAGGTGGTAGTGAATGGCTCCCGTCCTTCCCACGGTTAGAATGTGTTGCAGGCACAAAATCTTATTTCTTAACATTGGGTTTTCTTGGGAATTACACAAGCAACATTGACATCAAGTTCATGAAAAGTATACAGAAATTATGCAAGGTCAATACTACAAACCTAAACAAATAGATGGCTATGAATGGAAGAACATCAGTTGCTTGATCCTGAAGTCATCTCTTTTGGTGAACTCAGCCCTGGCCAGTTTGGCTCAGCGGTTGGAGCATCGGCCTGCGGACCAGAGAGTCCCGGGTTCGGTTCCCGCTAGGGGCACATACAAAAAAAAAAAAAAAAAAAAAAAATCACTCTTTTGGTGAACTCATTCTTACGGGTTGCCGTTGGCTGCCCTTGTTGCTATGTTTGGGCCTCCATGCTTTTGTGTGATTTGGGATTTGAGAATTAAATAAAAACAGTTTGTTTATATTTTATTGTTTAATCCTATTAGATTTATTCAGTCCACCAATAATTATGTCAAGAAGTACTAAAAAGAGCCCTGGCCAGTGTGATTCCTGGTTGGGTTTTGGGTTCAATCCCCGGTCAGAGCATGTACAGAAGGCAACCAATTGATGTTCTCTCTCTCTCTAAAATCAATAAGCATATCCTTGGGTGAAGATTAAAATAATAAATACTAAAATGAAAAAATGACAATATTTGAAAGAATATCTAGTAGTTAATTAAAAGTTTCCTTATATCCCTGGCCAGTTTGGCTCAGCGGTTAGAGCGTCGGCCTGCGGTCCGGAGAGACCCGGGTTCGGTTCCCACTAAGGGCACGTACTTCGGTTGCAGTTTGTCCCCGGCCCTGGTTGGTCGTGCGGGTGGCAGCCACTCGATGTGTCCCTTCACGTCGATGTTTCTTACTCTCTCTCCCTCCCACTCTATCTGTACAAAAAATGGAAAAATATCCTCGAGTGAGGATAAAAAAAAAAAAAGTTTCCTTATATAAAATAAGAGTTAATTTCATTAAAAATAACTTTTAAGCCCTGGCCAGTATGGCTCAGCGGTAAGAGCATCACCTGCGGACCAAAGAGTCCTGGGTTCGATTCCGGCCAAGGGCATGTACCTCGGTTGTGGTTCGTCCCTGGCCCCGGTTGGGGTTGTGCAGGTGGCAACCAATTGATGTGTGTCTCTCACAGCAATGTTTCTCTCCCTCTCTCCCTCCAGCTCTATCTGAAGATTAATGTAAAAATATCCTTGGGTGAGGATTAAAAAAGCAAACAA